GTAATAACAGTAAATTATGCATAAGTACATGCAACTAACCCTAAACCAAACTCTATTCCTAACTGTAACCCTATAAATATGCCTGCATGTTGTTAATTAACATTACTCAGTACTTAAATATATAATTACACTGTAACAAGACACCTTGAAATAAAGTGTAACCCCAAAAATTATGATTAAAGTAACTGATTCAGGTAATGAAGTCTCCAATTACGTAGGTCATTTAGACTCAAGTGCAGACTTTCCTCACTCACCGGTTTCAGAGGTGAGCTAATGGAGGATCATGTAAGAAAACAGACAGGTCTTTACCAGCCTTGACAGCATCACTGAGGTCAGTGGTCTGTGTTACTCATGAATCATGCATCAGTGGGAATAAATAACAAGTAAATTTCAAGATAAATTCACCTCAAAGGACCAAACATGCTACAAGAAGCCTAAAGCTGAATAAGTGCTACAGGAATATGTGGATGTGGGCATACGTAGTTGACATTGTGCCAGGCAGTGATATGTTGTTGTTGTATGTTATTTTTGTACATGTATTAAAGACGCAATTTGTGTGACACCACAGGATTTAGAGTCACAATGAAATGGAAGTAGCCACAGGTCTTTTCGTCCATATTGTGGCATACATCCAAGTGAAACTGATTATCGAAAAAAAATAGAATAGATTTTGAGATGTGGCCATCACATTCAAACACGATTACTTGCAGTCAGTTGTGAAGGGGCGGGGTTTAAGCAAACTAATTAATAAGTCCAGTGTACAGCAACACCAGAGAGAAGACTGTTGTTTTCACCAGAAGATCAAGTTATGACTTTATGATTAAAATTATTATGAGGTCAAGAGGAAATTTAAAAAAATTAAACATACACATGGATGGATCATTCACAATAAGATGTATAATATGCAATTAAAAAACAGAGAGTGCTCAATTAAAGCCAGCTTTAAGTAAACTTCAACAAGCTAAAAAGTTATTAAAATTGGTTAAATAATTGATTAAATAAATAATTGATTAAAATTGACAAAAAATAATAGAAATGGTTACCTTAAATTACTGTATATACATTTAAAATAAATATAAACCTATAATCTTTGTTGAAAAAAGTTCACGTCCATATTATTGTCAATAACCCACAGTTGGATATGTTTTGAGTATTGCCTCTACTCTCAGAAAAAAAGGTAGAAAAGCTTTCACTGGGGCAGTACCCTTGCAAAAGGTACTATACTGTACCTTTTAGGTACTAATATGTACACTGTAGGCACTAAAATGTACCCTTAAGGTACCAAAATGCAGCCTTTAAAAAGGGTACAATGTTGTACCTTTTCAAAAGGTACCGCCCTAGTGACAGCTTTTGTACCCTTTTTCTTTTCCTGAGAGTGTATAGTGCCTTATGCACAACTTGTTCATTGCAAACTACTTTATTGTTATTCATTTTAAACTCTGATACATTTTTTTTAAATAATCTTACCTAGAGACCATACTTGTATTTATTGATTTCTGCATCTTTCAGCTTAAACACTTTTTGTAGGATTTAAGTGCAACCACTCCCACAACCTCCCACAATGCAATAGCTTCACATGTGATGCTTAGTCAGCATAAATAAATTCTGCAATGTTTGTCATTACTGAGAGGACAGCTTTAATACTTTAACACACTTTTCACAAGTCTCAGTAAATGCATTTAAAGACTATTTACAAAGTATGAGTCAACTAAGTACATAAATGAAGCACATGTTTCCAAAGAAGAAAGACTTTAAAGTTAAATCTTTGGATGAAGCGCAATATCAATCAGATTATCTTGCAAAAAAAGTTAGATAAACAGACAAACCTAGAAACCATAGACATAAACATACAGCTCTGCCTAGACTTGCCCAACATCAAGAAACATACTGAACCCCCCTTTCACTATTAACATCCAACAGATTGTCTGCATTCATAACACACACACACACACACACACACACACACACACACACATGCACAGGCATAAGGTCAGGATCCTATAGGTAGTAACAGATTAGCTTCTACACCCTCTATTTTCAGGATCACAACATCACAGAAGAGCATGGAAAACAGAGAACAACCCCCAGGGATATCCAATATCATGATGCTACACTTCTGTAGTATTACCAAAAAAACCCCAAAAAAAACTATTGTCATCCTAAATAAATTGTTGAAAGATCATTCTGTCATTTATCTGTACACTGTAAGAAACTGACTGTGAAATTCACAGTAATTAACTGGCAGCAAGTGACAAGTAACTTACTGTATAAAAAGCACAGTAATTAACCGGCAGCAAGTGACAAGTAACTTACTGTAGAAAAGAACTACAGTAATTAACTGGCAGCTAGTGACAAGTAACTTACTGTAGAAGAAATAACCATATTTTCGCTGTTTTCATTTACAGTAGCAACCATGTAACTGTAAAGTAAAACTCACTAATTTGCAAGTGCAACCTTTTTTTTTTTTTTTTGCACTTATTACACAGGACAGTGTAGCGATTCGTGGGGAACATGATCGGCAAAGGACCTTAAGCCAGGAGACACAGTTGCACTATATGTCAGTGCGCTAACCACTAGACTATCAGTACCGACAGGTTCCATTTCTGTTTAGTTATATTGGTTCAGCCCAAATAAAAAAAATAAAACAAAAATTAATATGAAATAAATAATGCATGTTGCACGATTTAAATATAAATATTCATTTATCAACAGTCACAGTTAACTGCTCATCATTATAACAAGCTTCATTTATCATTCTTCACTTATTGCTAGATGTGTTGAAAACAATAAAATCTTGATGACATTCTGTCATTTTTTTATTTTTATTTTTATTAAAGAATTCATTTGCTTCCTGTATTCTCTATTCAAACCTAAAATGTAATTGAATTACAGTGAGGTCAAATTAAATGCAGTCATTGGCTGGAAACCCAGCTGCCAGTGTAGGCTACTATGTTTTCCTTCTCTATCCCAGTGGCTGGGTTTCAGTATGGCAGTACGGTGAAATCGCGTTCTGGGGGGTGAATTTATGATTATGATACTGAAGTTAAAATAATATGATAATAATTAAAAGTTTGTATGAAGCAGTATAATGGGCTGTTTTTGTACAGGTAAAATAACTGGAAGCGAAAGACACCAGAAGCCAAACACATTCAAGGTACAAATAGCTCTCTTGTGAAAACTAAGCTGGATATAAAAGGTTACTGTGTTTTTTTTGTGTTTTTTTTACAGCACATTGTTGGCTACTGTAATTTTCTACAGTACATAATTGCTTGTTGTGTTTTCTACAATACATTGGTAATTACTGTGATTTTCTACAGTATATAATTAGTTATTGTTTTTTCTACAATACATTGGAAGTTACTGTGATTTTCTGCAAGACATTGCTGGTTACTGTGACACTCACAGTACTTCTTACATTACTGCAATTTTGACTGAAACTACGGTATTCTACTGTGAACTAGTATACAGTAATTTCCTGTGCACAAACACAGTAAATTCCTGTATATTTCACATGAATTTTTTACAGTGTACTATATATATGTGTGTGTATGTGTATATATATATAGAGAGAGACACACACACACACAAACACATAGTATATACATAATAAATTAATACTTTTATTTAGCAACGATGTATTAAATTGATCACATGTGACAGCAAAATCATGTATAATGTTACAAAATATTTATAATTCAAATAACTGTTGTTCTATTCAATAAACCTTCCATTAATAAAATAATCCTGAAAATAAGTGTCATCAAAAATATTATGCAGCAAAACTCTTTCCAATATTGATAACAGCAAGAAATGTTTCTTGAGCACCAAATCAGCATATTAGCTAATTACTCCAACACATTACTTCAGTCTTCAGCGTCCCATGATCCTTCAGAAATCAAATGGCTGCTAAAAATGCAGCTTTGCCATCACAGGAATAATAGAAAGCAGATATTTTGAATTGTAATAATATTTCACCACATTACTTTTTTATCAAACAAATTTAGCCTGAGTGAGCATAAGAGAAAAACAAAACAAAATCTTACTGACCACAAAACTTTGAATGTTACTGTATGTATACTGTACATAAAACTGAGGATTTTGCTAGATTTGAGAAACCCCAACATTCAATTATAATAGCATCTGTGGTCAACACTAGTTAGGTGGATGGTTTGATCCCTGTAAGAAATGAGCCATGAGTTACCAGTGTGTCCTTAAGGAGGCCATCCTTGTAAGTGTACTATAATCTTTAGATAAAGCTTATAAAATGATCACAAAATGAAGGAACATTTGTTAATAAAAACACTAAATACGATATTGTGTTTCTCGAATTTCATTTATTTAAAAGCATTTTGAAAAATAAATACACTGTCCCAGTTTTAGTCGACAGGAGCTGCACTAAAGGCACGAGTAAATACATATTGATGGTGTAAAAAGTATGAGCAAATTGGATTGTGAAACATCTTGAAGAGAGAGCAAAAACAAGCTAAGGCCTGCAAACCCAGTGACTGAATTCACATGGAACGCATCCTCTTCATTTTACCATGCAAAAACATATCCTCATACACACGCAAGGCCATAAACTAGTTGGGAAATCTCAAGTTTCACACTTTCTCTCATCAATGAACTTTAGATTTTTTGAATATGATTTTTGTCAAAAAAATCATACAAAACAATCATACAAAAAAAAACAAAAAAAAAAACTTCTCTGTCAAATGAATGACCAATATGAAAGGACAATGCAACATCATCTCCATTTTTTATGATCTGGAACATGGAAAATGCGGTAACACTTTAGTAATAGGGACCAATTCTCACTATTTACTAGTTGCTTATTAGCATGCCTATTATTAACATATTGACTGTTTATTAGTACTTTTAAAGCATATATTCTGCATGACCATATTCTACATCCCTACCCAATACCTAAACTTAACAACTACCTCACTAACTATTAATAAGCAACAAATTAGGAGTTCATTGAGGCAAAAGTCATAGTTAATGGTTTGTTAATGGTGAAAATTGGACCTTAAAATAAAGTGTGACCGAAAATGCTATACGGACAATCATGCTATAATATTTGATCTAAAGCTCTATGTAATGTTCTTTTCGATCCAGTTCTTAAAGTTTACTACCCGTGTGTAGATAGTGTACAAATCTGGATTACAGCCCCGCAGATCATATCCGAAGCTCACTAGCCCCAGCAGTTCCCAAGCATGATGAGAATCAGCATCTTCTGATCTGCCGGGGGGGAAAGGCTCCAGCCCTAAAGTGGGTTGGGAATCAGCAGAGAGAGAAAGAATGATCCCTCCGGTTTCAGAAGGGCAGATCATGGACGGGCTGAGTGGATGTTGGCGTCCACATAGCATGTTGTCAGTCATACTGATCGGTACCCCGTGTTTGCTGAATTGCCTTTCGCACTTCACCACATCAGCTAATTCTATCAGTCCGGTCCGGGCGGCCTCGGAGTCTGTGTGTGTCCTGTGTTGGCCTGCTACGGGCCAGCCGGTGAGGAAGGCCTGCTTTGCAGTGACCTCTCCACCCTGCAGACGCGGCAGGCACACAGGGGACACATACTCACTGATTCGAGCTTTGTCCGCCAGCTTCAGTATGGCCAGGTCAGAGTCTAAGACATGTGGATCGTAGTTCGAATGGATGTAGATCTGAGAGATCTGTGTGGGAACAGAGATGATGAAAGACTTGAACTGAAAGAGGGTGGACGGTTTGAGAAGTAAATAATCCTACAGACTACCTGGCAAAGCCTAATCATAGATTATCGATAAGAATGTGCCTTGAGTTTTAATGCGTATATTTAGTCTGCAGTATCCTCAGTATGGCTTTGGGCTTTCCAAGAACTTTCCAAGTCATAAAATATGGTAATGCTGTTGGCTTTATGGAAAGGTCTTGTTCTGTTAATGTCAGGAGTTATTTAGTGTTTTAAGCTGAATTATTACATGCAATTTATATGTAACACAAATAAATGGATAATTAAATGGTGCATGTTTGAATTGCATTGGTAATTTAGAGGAACTGCTAGAGGAACTTCTGCAAGACATATTGTAGTCTGAAAGCTCTTACCTGTATGTGCTGTAGTCTCTTGTTCTCTCTAAGGTCACTGAGGTAATGTTTTCCCATCACTACATTTAGATCATCTGTACTGAGCGCTTCAGTCTGTCCAGGCTCCGTCACACAATGAGCAGCCACCACGACCCAGTGCTGGTTGACCAGAGCCCCGCTGCAGACGAGCTGCCATCCCTGGTCCTTCTTAATCCATTCTTTATCTTCCTCTCCCTCCTCTTCCTCATCTATGGCAAACGTGTCCCCCTGTCTTTTGGTCCTTGCCATAAGAGGGCTGGCATTGTACAGACGGGTATATATGGCAGCATGCCATGGCCAGTGAATCTCTGTGAAATTCTGGGGCCTGGCAGCTGGCAATTTACCGCATACTGGAAGAGAATGAATGCCAGTTCTGTGAGTGGGTGAGTTCTGGCACAAATTTCTAATTATATCAGATTATTAGTGAGTGCCAGCTTTGAAAAAATAAAAAATAATAATAAAAAATAAAAATAATTGTTAATTAAATAGAAAACAATATTATAAAATAAATGTAAAAATGAGTGTTAGCGATTATTGGAATAATAATGTAATTCTGCTTTGTCAGTCAACATCACTCAGGGTTATTAAAGTATTTGTAAATAGGAAAACAGGTTCCACAATATGTTTTAAATGTAAAATAAAAGTAGTAGTAGTAGTAGTAATAATAATAATAATAATAATAATAACAATAATAATAATAATTATTATTATTTACATATTTACTGTATTTAATTTTATAAAATTATATTATACACACTGAAATTATGGTCTAGAAATGGTGTAGTTTTCACTCAGAAATTGCTAGTAAATTTCACAAATAATTACAAAGAAATGGCAAGTAGGGCATTGGATAAAATGTGAAATTTTGAAGCAGAAAGATTGAAATACTGAAATAGTATCTTCTAGTAAAACATACTCTAATAATCGTTGTTCAGCCTACAGTTGTCAGGGTTATTAGTGCATAGGAAATATTTGTAAATAGGAAAACAGAACCCATAACATGCTTTAAAGGGGTCATATGATGCTTTTTTAAAGATCATTATTTTGTGTATTTGGTATAACAGAATATGTTGACATGCTTTAATGTTCAAAAAACACATTATTTTTCAAATACTGTACATTATTGTAGGTCCTCTATGCCCCGCCTCTCTCAAACGCTTCGTTTTCTACAAAGTCCCTCCTTCCGACAAGCGCAGTCTGCTCTGATTGGCCAACTGACCCAGTGCATTGTGATTGGCCGAACACCGCAAGCACTCGTCGGAAATGTAACGCCCCTTACCATAATCGCGAGCTTCAGCTTTCAAAATAAATGTAAAGACAGTAAATAATGTCATTAGTTTTACCATCAGTTCAAGCCCGAAAGGGGAACAGAGTCGCGTGACAGACACAGTGATGAAGCTGGTATGTGTTTGCAGTACACAAGCCACGGTTAAGACAGCTGACTCCACTGTGATGTGACCCTGTCTCTCTCTCTCTCTCTCATACACACACGCGCGCACGCACGTACACACAGACACACACACACACACGCGATGCGCAAAACTCCGCATTTGAACAGTCAATAGCAAATACTAAAACTAATAACAAAACAGTAGCTGATGCAGAAGCGCCAGATTGTCATAGCAAAGTCAGAATTACCTCCTCTCCTAGGTTCACGAAACGGTCGTCCATAAAATGCATTGCTGTTCTGTTGTAAGTAATCTTAAAGATTCCTAAATGCATCTACTTCCGGAAGGCCAAATAAAGTGCTTTTGCTTTCGCCTAGAAACACACAGCGTCTCCCTGACATGCTGCTTCAACACTAACTGCGGTTACTAAAACCACGCCTTCTTTCTTTGCGTGAACATTTGGGCGCATTATGCAAATATTTCCACATAGTGAGGTAGATATGTGGGGGCGTGTTAGAACGAGACGTTTTAGGGGGGCGTGGCAGAGTCTTAACTTTGATAAAGAATATCTCTTTGGTTTTTGCACATTTGGGTGCATTATGCAAATATTTCCACATAGTGGGGTAGATATGTGGGGGCGTGTTAGAATGAGCCGTTTTAGGGGGGCGTGGCAGAGTCTTAACTTTGATAAAGAATATCTCTTTGGTTTTGAGACTTTAGTCTTTGCAACTTCAGGGATCTTATCTATTCACAATCAGCTTGTAACACTCCAAAGAGAAAGGAAAACTTGAAATCGCATCATATGACCCCTTTAAATGTGTCAGTGCTTCCCTCACCTGGTGAACAGGAGAAATGACGTCCACTCCACTTGCCAGTCTTTAGACATGTGCGGCGTGCACTACCAGAATGCTTGTAAAACGCTGAAACACACTCATATTCTATGCTGGTGTACACATGGTGGAAAGTTGGTGGCAAATCTCCAAAAACAGAAAAGGCTTTCTCCAGTGTGTCTGCTTCAGTCCCTCCCTGACTGGATGCAGAGTACAGCTTGTGGACTGGACTTTTCCTAGCATTAAAAGGGATAAAATGAGGATCCAACTTTGCCAGTGTAATGTCACACGATCATAAAGAAATGAAAAATGCCTACCTAGAAGGAGGTTGGTATTTCAAGACCTTCTGCTGCACAAGTTTAGAAACTTTAGGTTCTCTACAAGCTGTAAAACAGTTTAGATGTTCAAGTTGACAGTGTGTTTGCAAAAGGTATTTCATAATTGCTTTGCAACTTGAAGTAGAGATGGTACCTCTGACACACAGGGGCTGACTGCCGCTCCAGGTCCCGTTCTTCTGGCATGTTCTTTTTGAGTCTCCACTGAGAATATATGTATTGTTGCAGAAATATTCAACATATTTTATTCTGCCATCAGAGCCTGAAACCTCAGTGACGTATCCATTGTGGAGTTGTGGTGGAGGTGGACAGTCTTTTATGGTCACTTCTGTAATTCAAATAGCAGTGGAACAGGTCACTAAAATTTGCAATGGTCCAACAACAAAACAGATTTTTAGAGCATTGTTTAAATTTCAAATCTATACATTTTCATACATTTTAAAATGCTGAAAGATCTCAATAGAAGCTGATGTTCTGTGATCTCAAGTTCGAAGAAGCATTACTCCCAGGCATACATGCACACCTCACTTTGATTGTAAGCAGCTTTGTCAGTCTCAAAGTGTCTTATACTGAAAACAGTTGTCATAACTACATAAGTGTCAGCGTACCCTTTATGCATACAGGAGCACTGCCACTCCAAGTGCCATTGGGAAGGCATGCCCGCTGAGATGCTCCCTTGAGCTTGTAAGGTTTATAGCACAGATACTGAACCGAGGTGAGGATGTCACCTTCTTTGTACCGCAGGAAGAGATCTCCGTGTGGTGGCTTCTTGGGGGTTGCACAGAGAGGTGGTGCTTGTCCTTGTGGAAAGCAGCAAAATATTATGATGCAATGTAAGCATTAAAAATTAAACAACATTTTTGCTGAGAAATGAGTCTAAAGGAATATCCCTGTAAGCGTGAATCCATGAAGCCCACTCAGCAAGAACAATAAAAAGCCACAAAGAGGTCCATAAAATTAGGGAAAACATACACCTACAGTGAGGAGAGGACATATATAGGCCTATATATATATATATATATATATATATAACAGTGGTGGCCAAAATTGTTAGAACACCTGCCAGATCTGAAAATATTGACCTTTTTTGCCTCAAAAACATGATTTAATTTCATAATGTTCATGAAACATGCAGATGGTTGCTCTGAGCACAACAAATATCAAATGAAGTGAGTCGTACTGTTTTTATCCAGTTGTAACTTTAATATTTGGTATGTCCACCTTTTGCAGCAATTACAGCAGTACATCTCTCTGGCATAGTGTCAATATATTTCCTGAGAATTTCAACACTAATGTTATCCCATGCCTTCTGCAACTCAACCAAAGGCTTTCCTTTGGATGTACAATAGATCTGTTCAGTTTGTTTTCCAACTCGCCCCAAATTTGCTCGAATTTGGGGCCGAGGTCCGGATTTTGAGGGGGGCCAGTCCATCATTTTCAACATTCCAGCAGATTCCTTCCGTCGCAGTTAGTTGCGGCATATATATTTAAGCCTGCAGCTTGCTTATTTTTTTATTTCATTTTTTGTTAATATAATTTAATATAATTTATATATATATATAGCTATGTATATTATTATATGTATATTATATTATTATAGTATAGTATATTATGTATATAATAGTATATTATATTATTAATATGTATATTTAAAAAATATACATAGATTAAAAAAATTCACTGTAGGCCACGGCTTCTTGGGGCTTATTGCTTTAATTTAAGGTGCCTTTTCATTTAAATCATTTCAAACATCAGTTTTCAATGTTTTATGTTTGAAATATCAAAACATTATTTATGCATTTGTAACTGAAGGTTAAAGTATTTAATTTCCCTCAGAGCTGCATTAAACAGTGTGTAAATGCATCTAAATGGCACTTCTAATGCAGCTTCTGTGTTTCCTCTGCATTGCAAAGATACATTTTGTTGATACTGATTTCATTTGCTTGGTAACAACCCAAATGCAAGAATTTGATTCAAAAGATGGTGCACACTTTTAGAAAAAATGGCTTAAAGGTAAAAATGCCCATAAAACTGAAGAATATCAAAAAATTCAGGAATCAGCTGTCCACGGTAGTCCTTAAGATATCAGCACAATAACATACTCAGCAAAATACTGTCTAAATATCGTTATTGATAAAATCCCAGAAAATTATAGAGATATCATTTTTTGTCAATATCGCACACCCCTAATTTATGTTATTTAATTGATATAATAATTTATT